GGCTGTACTTTATTTTAGTGAATTGCGAACGTTTTATTACTTTGTTTTTGTTACGGTCTTCATTCTGTAGACATTTAAAATGGTATTTTTATTTAGTTTAAACAAAAAAAATTAGCTGGAGAAGTTTGGTCACGTTAGTTGTTTTTTATTTAAGTAGACCCTCATTCGCATTTAGATTTGGGAAAATAAGACTAATTTATTTGTCTCACACCTTTATCCAAAGCAATTTACATTTGCACCTATTTATACAGCTGGGTATTTTACTGGAGTACTTCAGCTGAAGTACCAGGCTGAAGGGTTCAACAGCAGTGTACTCTTCTCCCACTCATCTGGAATCTGAGCTTACAAACTTCCTGCGTGGAGTCCAGAGCCCCAGACACGTCTCTCTGAACAGAACTGTTCCATTTAGCTGGAATGTGGGTGTTTTAACTCAACACAGTTTCTGACTTGTGGGGGAAATATTCATTCAGTGCCCTTGCTTCCTCTTTTACCTAAGAAATTCCACCATTATCTTCGATACGTTTGCATGAATAGGTCGTTGGTAAATTATCTTCTTCCAAGAGAGGTGATCTGATAAGATCTGCTAACAGTCCATCTCCATGCAGGCCGTACAAAGAAAAGTGTTCAATAGAAATGAAGTGAAGCAGAGAGCTGGGGCTCCTTATTTCAGATTCATTTTAAAATCTGAATTCAGTTGAAAAATGCGAGAAGTACCCTGGAATCCCTGAAGCCCTGGAAAGATGTGTTTCTTCTGCCTTTGATGTTTCAAACACAGGACAGTCACTTACTGCGAGCTTTGATGGAGATCTATTTTGATGCCAGGAATTCAGCTTGTTGGAAAGTACAGGAGCAGATTTACTAAATCTAATGAATGTTATAACATAAGTAAAAGTTCTACAGATATTTAAAAAGCAAAGAAGATTTTGTATTGTAATAAATTAGCTTGACAGAAGAACAACCCATAAAATACATATGTAATATATATTTGTTTTTCTTTCTCAATAGCTGGTACTCATGTCTGCTCAGACATAAACCTTTCTCTCACGCCACGTCTTGTGTATTTTGAACTAATAGAAGCAGTTGTCTGTAAATCAGATCTTTTTATATGTTATTCAAGGCTATTTTGTAGCCTAGAACAGGTAAACTGGACAAAACAGGTTTGTAGGAGATTCTTGTGGTTAGTCCGTCCTTTCAAGTTCTTGTGCTAAGTCAACAAACAGGCTTGTTTCTTGGCAAGAAAATCACGTTAGAATCCACACCCCCATTGAACAAGCACGACCCACCACTGCCTGTTTTTCATGCAACAACTGGGTGACTTTTGACAGGTGGTATACATGAGTGTGTACCAGTGTGAAAAGGGTTACACTGACAGGCCATATCTGGGGTTATGTATTACTTTAAAGTGGCCTCCAACAATTTCTGATTTGATTTTTGACTCATGTTTTAACTTTGACTTCAGTTAATCTATATCCTATAAGTTTGAAGAGTACCGATGTAATACAGTCGATTACATGTTGACTAAATTATACCGGGTTATACTGACGGCTTCTCACATAATATTCTATTGGTACAAATTGTTAACTTAAAAGGAAGATAGCACGTCAGTTGCTTAGACAGAAATCTTGATAAAACCTTTATGTAGAAGACTATCAGTGATCATTGACTACTGATAGGTCAAGCATTGATATGAATAGACTGATGCATCACTTCGGTTTTAGCTGTAAATGGTTTGAAGAGAGGTTGGCTTACACCCAAGTGCTTTATGACCAGGCTTACATCCAATTAGCTAATTTTTAATTATCATCCTGAACATTTTCAACTAAGGAAATATAGTAAGTGACATATATATATATATTTGATGCTTCTTGGTAAGGGATTAGCATCATAATACTTTGATTTTAATTAATTTTAAATTTCCTTGTAAATTCAGAGCACTGAAGAGGCAATCATATTTGCGGAGTGCTACAGACAGCTTTTCGTCTCCCCTTTATTTAATAAATATTTCTGCTCATCGTGAGAATTACACCATTTATTTTTCTTGAGGGGCTTGAACCCCAATCATTACAGATGAAAATAGGGATAACTTGTTTACTGGAAGAGATGTGGGTGTATTGAGCAAATTGAAATATGACATAACAGTGCATTGGAGTCCTTCAGAAGTGGGGTTTTGGCATCAGCCAGCCACTTAGCAATCAAACAAACAAGCTGAGGTGAAAGGCCTCCCTCTTAAGTTTTGATTATTCTCAGTTTCCGTGCTTGTAAGGTCACAGAGGCAAGAGTGCAGTGTTCGTGTTAGAAGAGTCCAGTATCTAGCTAAGCTAACACAAAAGGCAGGAATTAAATAGGAACTTTGACACCCTGCCAGTCACAAGTGGCAAATGTGTGGCTTGATGCCAGCTCGCTGTTTGCCAAGGCCATCTTACATCTGCCCAAAGCAGACCCACCGTGGGTTTGGAGTGAGTGTTGTGGACGTCAGATGAGACTGGTATATCTCAGCCATCATTTCTTGTATTTAGAGTGACAATGTTTCTTTTTCTCAGGTCAATTCTGAAATTGTCTGCACGTTTGTTTTTGTAATTGCATTGTGTTTTCCTTCATTTAAGTGTCTTTTGTTAAGATCTATTCAAATCCCATACTAGGGAATGGTGTGTGTTTCAGAGGTGTGCTAAATGGTTCTCTGTTGTTTCATGCAAGTGTACCCCCTACTAAGACAACGCTAAAGCATTGAACGGCAGTGTGAATACTATTCCTATATTGCTAATTTATTTGGCTGATGATTTTATGCAAAGCTCTTTCTTTATATTATACAGCTGGGTAATGAAATTGAAATTGAATTGAAATTCTTTGTTCGAGGGTATAACAACAGTGTCTTATCTGGGATTTAAACTGTCAGCCTTCCAGTTACAAGCCCAGGGCCCTGCGCTCTGCGCCACACTGCTCTTTATGTTGTATCGCCTCTCATATTGACTACCCGTATAATATCTGATCTTTGTTAATGTAACATTTGTGTAGTGCCCAAGCTGTACTAGCATTGCTGCAGAAAAACAAATTCAGCTACATCCTGCGGCTGCCATGTGATCCATTTCAGAGTGTTTACTTGCGCAAATTGTGCTGCAGAGGTAGGTCAAACACTATACCGTATTATGTATTTTTGTAACTTCATGTCAGCCTATCTGTTTGTGTATGCAAATGTACTCAAACGAGCTTAAAATATCTTCAACCTGCTTTGGCTTATATACAGTAAGTGCCTGAAGCGGAAAAAAAAGATCATTATGAGTCTGAATTGCATTCTTACTTGGAAACAAATGAGCCTTCTTTTCCCCTGTTTCTCCACAGTTCACGAATGTGGATGTGGTCCGCTTTCCATACGGAGTCCTTATCACAGAAGTGCGTGTGATTCCTCCTGGCATCAAGGCCCACAGCACCTTGCCGGACAGCAGACTGTTTGGGTAAGTCGTCTGTTTCCTCCCTCCTACTGTTATGATTTGCCACTTTGGTATTGTTTGAAATAATTTCATTGTGTTTGAAGTGCTGTTACTGAGATTTTGCCTGGCTGGATTCTCTGTTGATGATGCCAGGATATTTCAGTGCCCGTTCAATCAGCTAAAGCTCACCTAGACCCCATTGGCTCTTGCTGGTTCTCAGTGGCCTCAAGTTTCACCCCTCCCCCAGACGGACTCTTGGGTTTTAAGGCTCCCTAGTGTGTTCATACCTGTGAGTGACAACGCCTGAATTTCGATGTAAACCTGTGATGTCAACATGAAAAGACCACGTGGTCGAGTTATATGACAGGAAGTGGTGCGAGTGAACCAGACAGGTAGATATTTCATTGTTGCTATGTTGGTATCCCCATACATGCACTGCTTTGGTACTTTATTATTTACATTCTCTGACTGTGTCCAGACTGTGGTTTATACTTTCTAATATTAGCTGCTAGTTAATATTAGATAACAAGTATCACTTAGACAAACCAATTCAGATTTTTTGCTTGCTGGGAAGAGCTCGAATGTGCCTAGTTGACACATTCTCTCTCCATAGTGAAGAGTGTTTTCTGGACACTCCACTCAAAGCGCTTTACAGGTAATGGGGACCCTCCGCCAATGTGCAGCACCCACCTTGATGATGTGACGGCAGCCATAGTGCGCCAGACGCTCCCCACACACCAGCTCTCAGTGGGGAGGAGAAAACAGTGATGAAGCCTGTTTATAGATGGGGATTATATGATTGGTAAAGGCCAGGGAAGAATTTGGCCAGGACGTCCTTGTTACACTCCTGGGATTTTTAATGACAATAGAGAGCCAAGACCTTGCTTTTATGTTTCATCTGAAGGATGGTGTCTTTTTTACAGCACATTGTCCTCATCACTATACAGAGCATTAGGACGCACTCAGACAGCAGGGTGAGCGCCCCCTACTGGCCCCACTAACCTCTTCCGGTAGCAAGCTTAGTAGGTCTCCCATCCAGGTACTGGCCAGGCTCACACCTGCTGAGCTTCAGTGGGCTGCCAGGTGTGAGCTGCAGAGTGAGATAGCTGCTGGCTGAATGGGCAGGATAGGTGATGATAGAACACGTCTGTAACAAAGTTACACCAGTAAAGGTACTGAAAGGTAGGTTGACCTGTCACTGAGGTTTAGGATATGTCAGTTAGCACTGTGGTGTCCTAGCTCCATGATCCTGGGTTGGATTCCCAATTTTTTGGGGAGTTTGCGTGTTTTTGTTCCAGGACTATTTTCTTCCCATCTCCCAAAGACAGGCAGCTTTGATGGGACTGGGGCGGGGAGGGTTAAAAGGATTTCATGCTTGTGTGGCTCTGCTCTCAGCAGAGGCAAATGGGGCAGCGGCGCCGTAGAAACAGACTGTGATGGGCTGAATTTTTTTTAGCCATCACTGATGTCCTTGCTTAAGACATTTTTAAATTAAACACTTTGAGACCATGTCAAATTAGCAATATTCAAACACAAGAATTGAACTTGTCAACTCCAAGCTCTGGAGCTTTTTTTGCATTCCAAGAGCACCAGTTCCACCTTTTCCCATTGTCTGTGGTCCTGCAATTCCCCACCTTGGGCTGCATCAAAAAGGTAGCCTGAAAAAAGTCATATCTCATCAGTAGACAGCATTCACACCTGAGAACAGGTAGTCCTGAGGTAACATGGGGCTGACCTAAAACTCCTGTGTCAATGTAGTCCTGGGCCACAGAACAGCAGCAGCATCACCACCTTGCAGCTTCATTTCCTGGCAGTCCAGAAGCACATCAGGGCTGGGTTAGGAGACATTACCTGTATCTTCTGATTGTTCGCCATGAGCTTCTCAGCGGTTTAAATTATTGAGTCCCTTGTGTTTTGGTATGTTTTCTACACACAGAAATGATCTTTTCCCGTAATTGTCTATGTCAGAATATATCTCAGCTCTTAATTGGCAATCCCTTAATGATATACAAAAACAGGGGCGAATGTCGGTGTGTCACACCGTCCCGTAATAATCTCTCACTGTGATATATAGACTCCACCTGGTGTTTTAAAATAAATCTCTGTGAAGTTTCACAACCCAGTTTCTGGCTCAGGGTTCATGCTAATGTTTAACCCTACCCTACTATTGAGTACCTAAAACAATTAAAAAAAACCCACAAATAGTTCAATTAAATGTTCAGGAAACCTAATTAAGAAAGACGTCCTGTAAGAAAAGCCATAAGAGAGAGGGATCCAAGGTGCTGCTGCAGGTCGTGTTGTCTGACCAGTGGTGAACGCTTCTCTTTCTGGGACTGAATTTCGAAATAACCCCTGAAGTATGGGAACAGGAGGCACTGTGCTGTTCTCATGACAAGATGTTAAACTGAGCTCCTGTGTTCTTGGTCATGAAAGATCCCATGGCATCGAATGTAATAGTGGGAGTGCTAATAATGTTTCAGTTCTCCACCTGGTAAATGATGATGATGATAATGATGATAATAATAATAACATTTACCTCTGCAGATTGCATCAGTACCCCCACAGGGGCATCTACTTTTTTAAACCAGCTGCAATTCTCTATTCCAGGTGTGATTATCTTATCTCAGTTGTTCTTAAATCCAGGTATTGTGTACAGCACTCATTCCTGCTTCAACCAGGATCTTGATATTTAAGAAAGGCACACATTAAAACACTCCTTATTTTCCTAACCTGTGGTTTACCAATTTGAATGTGTTGATTTTAGAACTGGCTTTCCTTTTTAATACTCTTTAAAGAAAGTAGGCTGCTTTTTCAGAGAGCCACCCCTGCTGAGACTTGTGTTTTTTTACTTTGGCTACAGTGACCTTTGAAACCTTAGCCTTTCACCAAGACTATTGAAACTATCAAGTCTAAACCAGATTTCATAGATATTTAAGATATAAACCTTAGCTATTTACCTATTGCAAATTGGTCTTGCATTATGTTGGACGGAAAAACATTTGTTATTAAAAAAAACTTTTTTGTATTTGACACAGTTATTAAAAAATTAGTAATATGAAATGTTTATTGCTGTGGACGTTTGATCAGTTCTGTCCCGAAGAGCCTGTGGCTCTCATACAGACATTTATCTCCCTTTTCTGTGGAGCTTAGATATTTTTCAACTCAATCCTTGGTGCTTGAAATGTTTTAATGAAAAATAATGTGTTTAAATGTTAACAAAAAATTAGACCAGTGGATTATTGTGATTAGAATAGAATTGAACTGATCTCAAAAAGACTGTTTGCTCTTATGGTACATATCTTCTTTAATTCTGGAAATAAAAAGATGAGAATCTAATGAGCCTTCCCAAATTCGTTCTAATGCTCACGACATCGTCATTAACTTAAGAGATGATGGCTTGTCAGTGGGATTTTAGTGCGCTCTATTTTTTTTTGCCTCTTGGCTATTTTTTAGTTGTCAGGCTTTTTTTCTAGCTGCGACAGTCAAGGCTTTTTCAGTGTGATCTCTGGGCGCCTTTGAACCCTTGCTCTTTCCTCAGGGAGACGTCGCCTCATGCATTTCAGCTGGACCTGTTCTTCAACAATGTGGCCAAGCCCAGCGCTCCAGTGTTTGACAGGCTGGGGAGGTGAGTAGCTTGGCTTCAGCAGGGCGTTTCATACCTGCTGGATTGCATTGATCATGGCCAGGGCTGAAAAACATGTTAGTGTCCATTTTTGTCATCTGGGCATTGTAGGTTCTCTTTCCCATCATAAAGGCTGTTAACTGTTAATTCTGGACTAAAACTTGACCTAAGTCAAGAGGGAAAAATGTACAAAATGTTTTCTGTAAACCTTGAGATATTGTAGAAAATGTCTGTTCGTTTTCTAACCTCTTTATCCAATACAGGGTTGTGGGGAAGCCGTAGCCTATCCCAGCATGCAGCGGGGGTAAGGCAGGATACCCTGGATGGGACACCAGTCTATCACTGGGCATACACAGACACGAGCACAGACGTAGCACACACTCGCACCAGGGCTAATTCTCCCAGACACCAATTCTCCTGCCACTATTTTTTTGGACTGTGGGAGGAAACCAGAGCACCTGGAGGAAACCCACATGATTGTGAGGCGAACGTACACACATACAGCACCAAAAGAACAGAACCCACTGCGTCACCGGGCTGCCCATTAAGAAACATGTGTTTAAAAGTTTTTTTTTAAATTCATTTTAGTGTAATTATGCCTTCATACGATGGATTGGCATCTTATCCAGGCAAGTCCCGTCTTGCATTATGTGCTTCTTGGATAGGATTTGTGTCGCCACAGCCCTTACCAGGAATGACATTGCCTCTCGTGACTGATGATTACACAAACACAGCCATAATAAATAAACTGTGCTGTTTAATTACATGGTAATCACTAAATACAAAACTAAACCCCCGCGCTCTGTGAACTCTCAATCCACTTAATAATAAATAAACTTTGTTTTAGATAGCACCTTTAAAAGTGGCTTTTCAAAGCGCTTTACAGTTAGAAAGAAAAAAAACATGCTGGAGGTTTAGGAAATGATCCTATCTTTATACATTAGCCCTGTCGAGCAGTGTCAGCCAATAAAAACGTCCATTTCCTGGTTTGTAACTGTCACCTGACCAATTGTATCCCACCACTTGGTCGGGCAACCGAGGGAGTCAGCTCATTCTGCTCTGCCCTCTGGGGTCTGCGGTGTACTGCCACAGAACTGCCACCTTGTCTCCCCATGCTGCCCTCTTGCGGTACATTTAATACTAATTTAATGTAGTGAGCTGATGGCAGTTCACCACAGTACCAAAACAAGGACCCTAGAGTCGATGTTCAGTGATAGAATTCAAGATATGTGACATGAAAACCCACTGCTTTAGCAAAGGTGCACTAGCTCATGATGTGTACAGTAATTCAACTCGGCTCTGACTCTGAGGCCTTCAGATTTATTTTACTTTTACCCTGAGACTTTCTGACACTGATGGTTATGAGTTCCTAATAAAGGTTAACTCCCTGTAATTATATTTGCATTAACTCAAAGCTGGTAAACACACAGACAATTTCCAACTGTCTTGGCACTTGGCATGCCTCATTTTCTGTTCTGTGGATTGGAAAGGAATATTTACTCCTTGTTTACTTCTGTTTTTTCTGTTAATATCTTCACAATGTCCTACGTTTTCCATGAAGTGATCGAATACTGAAAGGAGAGTAAACGTGTTTCTGTTGTCAGTCCTTCAGGAAGATATTACTTGAAGTTCCTCATAAATGTGAGAGGTTTGTGTCACCCTTCTGTTATCTGGGCCAAATGTAACTCGTAAAGGACAAACTACACACTTGAGGATGGACATTTTTTAAAGTTTAAAACTAGCTGTATGGTAGGAATCAAGTGATCACCTTTTGTAACAGTCTTGGGCAATAAGTGCTGAGTGAGTATGTTTTCCTTGACTGAAGTCGGCTAAGAAGGCTGCCACTCTTTACTGGATGTGCTGGAAGAAAACAGTTTTGGCATAGCTCACACTACGTTTGCATTTCATTTTTATTATGTCATTATGTAATTGTATTAGGATGGAGTGCCTTGCAAATGTTTTCACCCGCTGCCAATAATGTCACATTGTAAGGAATTCCAAATAAATACACACAAATTCAAAAGTGTCATTATTAAATGGAATAGTATCATATGAGTAGGAGGTAGAATGTCAGCAAACCTGCTTGTTGAAAACTATATCCAAGTTAAATTTACTGATTGTATAAGCCGCTTACGTCCGTAGGTGGTGGAAACACCTTTGGCAGCAGTTGCTTCTTAGGTTTGGACAGGTCTCTACTGAGCTGTGTGCACTGGGATGGTATACATTTAACTTGTGCTTCCTGGCAAAACGTCTCCAGTTCTGACCGATTTGTTGGTGTTCGCTGATGGCCTGCAGTCATCGAGCTTCACCCTACATTTCCTATTGGACTGAGGCCGGGACGTTGACTGGGTCACTCAAGGACATTTCGCTCCTGCCTTGCCAGACCACTAGTCTTGTGCTTCAGATCACTGCTCCATCCACTCACCTCTCAGCCCTGGCAAGCTTCCCAGTCCCTGCTGATGGGCAGCATTCCTACACCATGAGTTTTCAATCACCATGCTTGACAGTTAGGATGGTGTTGACTGATGTCATGCTTTGCTTTTAGACCAAAACCTTAAGTTGAACATGTCAGCAGTGTCATATACATGAATTGTCATACAGTCTTTTTCAGTAACAGGTTCTTTCTTGCCACAGACACATCTAGGCCACCATTTGTGTAAGACATTTGGAATATTATCAATGTATGAGCACTGACTTCCATGCCCAATATGGAACTTTGCGAACCTGACCTGGGTGTTATTGTCTTCCCTCTTATTACTTGGTGACTTTCAATTTTCTTACAACCTTTTCATGATCTGTATTTCTTTACCACAGTGTCCCTGACAAAAGCTCCTTCGTTTTCATGTGTTTCAAGTGTTGTGGCTTAAAGTTTAATATTGATAAAGCTGCATTTACTCTATAGTCAGGATAAACCAATTTCTTTACTCAGGGAGACCATTGCACTAATATAATGACCTTTTAAATTAATCTTTTGCACCTGAATGTGTTTATATAGGAAGGGGCGAGAATAATTAAGTAGTTGATTACCTTCTGTTTTTTTTAAATCTATGTTTTGTACATATTATATTTTGGGAATTTATTGACTGCAAGCTCAGATGGGGAAAAAAAGGTGTGTAAACATTTACAGAGAAGTGAAAAGTTTTGTAAGAGGTTATATAAATAATATTTTTTAAAAGTTGAAAATTTATATAATTACTTTAACTTTAATTCAAATATTGATTTGTATCAAGTCTGAGGCAATGCATGAGATTTGTGAAATTGTGTATTTTAATCACATTATAGTCAGAACTGTTCAGTTAGACGTAGATTGTGTACAGAGGATAATTGGTTTTTGAAGTTTGAAGTTTTTTTGTGCTAGAATGAGATGTTTTTAATAGTACAATGTATTTCCCCCTTTTTGCTCCCTTCTCCAGCCTTGAGTACGACGAAAATAAGTCCATTGTTTTCAGACCCAGTGGCAAGGTAAGAAAATGACTTGTGTCTATTGCATGAGGACGGTCTGTAATTGATTTTTGAAAGTCTTCTGTCTTCTGTAGACTCCGTCTAGTCCTTCTCCCCTCCATTTTTTTCTTATGTCAAGAGCTTTTTGCTTTGTATATCTGGTGAAAAGGCACATTCACTTTTCTTCTGATAACCACATATGAGCTTTTCTGTTTCAGCCCTTTTCTGTATTAAAGCAGTGCTGTCCAAAGTTTAGTACAAATGCCCCAGAATCTCGAATCAAATGGGGAGCTGCAGGAGAGTGTGAGATCCAAAGGAATTGGCTCGAGATTAATTTCGCACTGAAATGTAAAAGGAAGACGCATTGTTTTGATTCTACTCTTGTCTAGTCACAGCTCTGCAGCTATAACAGTGTGCTTTTTCATTTCTCTGCTTTACTTTTCAGTGTGGGTTTGATCTCTACCTCTAATTCTAGGGATGTGTAGCTTTTATAATATGTGTAATGTGTAATGACATTTTCACAAATCAGTGTCCTGAATGAATTGTTTTCACGTGAGGTGGGAAGTTTGTGTATAAGGCTGAAAAACTGAAAGATGCTCAGAGTAAAAGAGGTCAGGTAATGTACTACACTATAATATGCAAATCGTGATACTTTTTGAGATTGTTTTGCAATTTTAGACACTTTACATAGATTTTAATACTGTTTGACCTTGTGTAAACAGTACTCTCCCTGTAGGGAATGAAAGCCTGCTTACGGTGATCCCTAGACTTTTAAGCATTAGATACTCAGTCAGCAGTATTTACTGATATGGAATGAGGAAATCATCTTTTTTGCGCCCAGTACTAAATGCACATTTTCTGCATATCAGGTTAGTTTTGAAACCACTTGACAGTAATTTTTAGGACGGTGAAACACCGGCGTGTTTGTTTGAGTCCATGCAAAAAAGGCTCTGGCAGGGATGACTCATTTACATTCTTCAGCTCTGAGCTGGATGTGCTCTTGTCAGAGCTGCGATCTGTCAGTCTGCAGTCTGTGTCCTGCAAGAGGCTGCTCCCTCTTCGCGGGCTGTCTGCCTGCGGGGCTCTTGGTGGGTGAAGCTAAGGGACTCGGAGGTGCCTGGTGAGCACCACACCCAGTGTGCCTCCAGTAAAATCCACACACATTCCACAGAGGACAATTCTCGTAAAAATCTTTTTATTCAACCACTGTGTTCGCATCAGCGGATGTTAGTTGCGTAATGCTGTTAGAGGTTCATTGGGAAATTAAATTAATCTGTTGTGAAAGAGCTGAATTCAACATTATTTCGGCCTGGAGGTGTTTGTGGATGGTCACTCCGTTCTTCGTAAAAGTAAACATTTAATGTGTTTTATCTGTTGCTCTGATGGATTCGACTGTAGAATAAATGGGCTAATATATGGGTGTTTAATAACAAGTGGGGACCTTGTGGTCTGTCTGTCTTGTTTGGTGCTTAGTATCTAATTGATTAAATTGTATAGTTTTAACATGAACCTGGACTGACTAGCCTGCGTTTACATCATAATAAAAATAACGTTTTAATGCCTTTATGGGCTGGTGGGACTTTGAAGTCTTATACTTCAAGTAATTTGAAGACTGCAGGATCAAGGAGGCCGGTAGTCAGAGACAGACGTGTTCCACTAAATAAAATTAAATCTCAGCCATATTCAAGGTGCACAGTCTGCAGGGCTTTGCTTTGTTTGAATGAAAAAAGAGCTGCTCTTCTGTAGTCAGGAGCCTGTAGTAAAATATTTAGCCTGCTGTTTGCTCTTCTTTGAGTAGTGCACAGAGAAATAGTGTAAAACTGTTGTAGATATGATGAAACAGTTTTTATCTGGTACTTACAAAGATGTTTGTAGCTCTGCATTTGTTTTAAGCTACTCTTGTCAGTATCAAACTTTTATTTAAGAAAGAACTTTGGACATAATGCAATGTAGGGAGCAAACCAGAGTTTATTTTGAGCTCTGTCAAAGCATTTAAATATTTTTTGTGTGATTTGTATTTGTACTTTATAAAGTTTAGTACCTACAGTGTTACAAGGAGTTAAATATCTGTCTTGCTAATGTGACAGAGATGCTGTCACCCCTCCCTGTCATTTCACGTCACCATTCAGTATTGGTTACCTCATGTATATATTTCTAAAAATGAGCATAAGGAAATTTAGGCCAGCTTTTCAGTCACATGTATGAATGGATCAGGTGCTAATATGGTTATGATGTATTATAAAAATAGAAATTCGGTTTACTTTGCTTATATTAGTGGTTCTTGTTTTTTTATTCCACAAACATGCGGTTTCACTTTCACGTTTGCCTAGGGTAAGAGTGATAGGCTTGTTACTCTTATTTTTTGTTCAACCGTATGTAGTTTTAATGGTCTTCCAGCAGTTTGCATTCCATGTTGCTTTTGTCAAATGTGTACATGTATTTACTCACTCAAATAATATGACAACATTAATCTAAATAAATACCTGTACTTAAAGCTTATCTCTTATCACAAGAGTAAGATTATAAAAAAGATTTTCAGCAGTTTGTTTGCACTTAAAGCCAAAGTGTTGTTTCTAGTAGACATTAATGGTATTTAGATACTTCTTTAGATGTTGTGTCATAATAGTTTTGCTTTGAAATAAGTTATTTAAATGTTGAATTTTATTGCTTCCAATTTACACTGTAGAGAAGCTCTGAAATGCATCCTAAACACTTTTTACCTGGGTTTGCAAGCTGAAAAGAAACAGATAAATGTTCAAGACTAAGAACTTGTGGGAACTTGTAAGTAACACAAGATGAGACTTCTTAAAGACTGAATAATCATGGAAGAAAAATCCATTCTGTGTACAATGTTAAATAAGTACTTATTATTGCAAGAGAAAGAGCGGATTAAAGTGTTGATTGATTTACTTTTCTATATCATGATCAATTTTTGATAGAAAGTTCTCAGTACTGGCTGTGTTTGGGTTGTCCTGGGTTCTCCCTTATTCACAGAGCTTGGATCATCACTGCAGGCTTCTGTCTGGCCTGGCTTGATCTATCTGCTCTCTACAGAAGTTAATTAATTGGCTTTGATTATTAACAACTAAACGTTAGATGATTGATAACAGGTTTGCCTAGCTGCATTTGGCTAGAAACCTTTGCAATGTTTAGAGTATTGTTTTCACAATTGTTGCCCTTTTTGAAATGACGCGCATACAATTTGAACCCATAATAATTGTAGTATGCAATCCTTATTTAAAAAAAAAATTAAAATTAGTCATTGCTAAAGCTAGTTCTCTGGACATAAATATTATTATTGAGTAGATCATCTAGAAATGTACATTTAAAGTCTATTATAAAAATATCAATGTTAACCAGAACTGTGCGACACAGTACATTCAGAAAACAAAAGTGATTTGCTGCCATCATCAGATCAACGGCATTCACTTTTTTCCATGGAAAGTGTTCCTCTGCTGAATAAGCAGTTTGGTTATTTTTTTAAATATATTTTCATACCCAACAACGTTTGCAGCACACAGAGTAACGTCCTCAGTCCTGGCTTTGTCCTTTACTCACAGAGACAGGTTATCTAGCACCTACGTGATCTTGTATTTTGCCATCTGCATTGCTGTGCATATTTAATAAGGCACTAGCCTGCATTATTAATCCAGATTTCAATCCGGGCATGTTTGTTGTGCAGTGAGCTGGCATGAATCAGTGAAGCAGGTGCTTTAATCTGCCCAGAGAGTCTCTGTGTAGTTGCAGCGTTTCCAGTGGTGTGGCGTGGCGTCTCTCCGGGCGCTTGCTGACCCGGGCTTTCTGGTTGCCAGGTGAACACGGATGGGCTGGTGCTGAGAGGCTGGTACACCAGCCTGACGCTAGCAGTGTACGGCACCGCAGAGAGAGCCCTGGGTCACGAGCGGGACTCCCCGCCGCCGCCCCCGCCCCCTCCGCCTCCGCCCCAGCAGCAGGCGGGCCTGAAGAGGAGCGCCAAGCATGGTATGTGATGGAGTGCTGCGCAGCTCTTCACTACCGCGAGTCGTGAAATCGCCCATTGTCATATACTGTGCTAAATGACGTTACAAGCCTTCCCATGAGCCCCAGCGCTTCATAGACCCGTGCCACACCAGGTGTTCCTTACAGCAAAGGTCCTAGCGCTGAAGCACGCGGCGACTGCTTCGGCCTCCAGGGAGACCTGGGTTTCTAATATGCAGTGACCAGCAGTGTACGGTTCAGGCGTGACTTGCCCGACACACGAGAGCTACCGAGTGAAGCGTGTGGTTCGAGTGATGCGTGTGGTTCTCGTTGAGCAGACTGGGATAAAGAAGACCAGTACAACGGCAGCCCACCCAGACCCCAGCCCAGAGGGCCCAGGACGCCCCCGGGCCCCCCCCCACCCG